AAGTGTTTAAGTGCCCCGGCCATTCGGCTTTTACTTGATGTCTCTAACCCTTTTTTTTTCTCTCCAAGCTCTTCCTTCGTCTTGGGCCTACCACCTTAGTCTTGTCAATACGAAGCCAGGTGTGGTCGGGCCTGGTTAGTCCTTGGATGGAAGACAGAGAATGCCAGGTACTGTAGGTTTTTCCAGGGTTAGTGGGCCTTGCCTTCCGGTGCCTGACAGGATACCAAGTACAGAACTGTCATTGCCCATGGTTGTCATCATAGTGATAGCTGGCATCACTATCTATTACTATCACTGCTTTGTATGGGGCACTGTGCGAAAGGCTTCTGTATTGCATAACATCGTCACCAAGAAAACTAGGAAGTTTGGAGGAAGCTGAAACCAGAAACTTAGATCAAATAAGTCATTCGAGTCTATATAACTAGTAAAGAGGCTGAATTAGAATTTAGACTCAAGCCTGTCTCATGGTAGAGTCTGAGTTTTTAAGCCATATATATATATATATATATATAAAAGTGTGTGTGTGTGTGTGTGTGTGTGTGTGCGCGTGTGCAGTAGCATATACTCACTTAATGTTTGTTGAACAGCAAGATTGCTCCAATAGTCTGCCTGGTCTCCATGGCAGCACTAATTCCGATGTGGATGACACCAGCACTTTCTGAATACTTACAGTGCTAGGCTCTGTGCGAGGTGGCAGACATCAAAAAACCTATTTAATCTGCACAGCTCAGTGAGGAAGAGTTTCCCCATTTTGCAGCTTAGGAAACTGAGGCTAAACAGTATACATTCAGGACTTGGATGCAGTATCAGTCTATCCTCTTGATCACTGTGTTAACTACCTACAAAAACAAGACTCATTTTGACCTCTGCCCCGTGCGTCTTGCTACCCATTCCTCGGTTGGGTTGCTGCTTCTTTGCTTATCCCTGCTCATTGTATTCTTTCTGAGGGGCCATGGCTGGAGCCCTCCTCTCCGACTATTTCTGTCCACATTGAACTCCTTTTGCAAAACTGGCTCTTTGATTTATATTTTCTTAAACTTTACTTGTCAAATCACCTGATTGATGATTAGTGCTCTTATTTCTTTTTTTAAATTTTTTTATCTTATTTCTTTTTTTAATTTTTAAAAAAAATTTTATTGATTTTAGAGAGGAAGGGAGAGGGAAAGATAGAAATATCAATGATGAGAGAGAATCATTGATTGACTGCCTCCTGCATACCCCCAGATTGAGCCCGAAACCCAGACATGTGCCCTTACCGGGAATCGAACCATGACCTCCTGGTTCATAGATCGATGCTCAACCACTGAGCAACACCAGCCAGGCATTATCTTATTTCTGACCAAAGAAACAGAACAGGGAGCCCAGAAGCAGACCCATACACATCTGGACACCTGAGCAGGGGCCCCTGCTGAGCAGTTTGGAATGGACAGTCACTCTAGCAAACAGTGCTGCTGGGATAGTGGATATCCAGAAGGAAAGAAATGACTCTTGACCACTCCCTCACATCACACACAAAAATACATTCCAGAGAGCTCATCAATCTAAGTGCCCAAGTGAATACAAAGTGAAACTTCATCTACAAGATAACATGGAATATCCTCTTAACTCCGAGTGGCCGTACATTTCTTAAAGAAGACACCGAAAGCACTAGCTATCAAGGGAAAGACCAGTCAGTTGACTGACATTAAAATGAGGAACTTCTGATCATCAAAAGACCTGAATAAAAGAGAGAAACGAAGCAGAGTGGAGATGCAGGCTCCACCGATAACTGGCAAGTGGATCTGTATTCAGAACATACAAAGAATCCATAAAATCCATAAGAAAAAGAACCCCTTCCCTCAACATGGTCAAAGGAATGCCCCCTCCTTATAATGGTGGGTTGTATGTGGTTTTCTTCTCACGATTTCAGGTTTTAAGCAGCTGGCCTGATCAGGGCACGGCCTGGTGGCTGGCCTTGGGAACTGTCTGGTCCCGTGGTTCTTGTTCTCTTCCGGTATGTGTGGCCCCGGGCCCTTCCTTTCACAGTCCTGCGTCACCCAGCTGTTTATTGGCGAAGGTGCCTCTTTCTCATGAATACATAATATATGTGTGTGTGTGTGTGTGTGTGAGTGTGTGTGTGTGTGTGTGTCTTCCTCTTTTCCTTGGGCTTGTTCATTTTTGATCAGCTGTTTTAAGAAGATTTCTCCCCGGCTTTCCCCCAAACCCACCCCCCACCTCCTTTTTCATTTCCCTTTTTGTACCTCCTTGTTTAGCCTAAAAAACTTGTGGTCATAAAAGTTATCCTAAAATATTTGAAAGCCTTTGGGGGAGTAAGCTTGTTCTGTGGGCCCCGGAGGCAGAGCGAAGACCTGAGGCTGGTAGATAGGACCCGGAAAGACAGTTCACTTCAGTTTTGTCCCAGTAGTGGGACCTCCAAAGGTGGGATGGGAGTCACTGGGTCAGGCAGAGGCTAGACCGTACCGCGTCTAGGTCATGGTGCTGTTTGTGGAGGGCCCGGTGCCATGGACGGGGAGCTGGATTATGATAATCCCTTCCGATTTTATCAACAAAGCCCTGGACGGACCCTTTGGGGATGCTCAGAGCAGCACCTCTCAATTGGGAGACTCTTTTGTGCTCCTGCCGGGTTAGGCTGGGCACAAATACCAGCCCTTTAATGGTGTCATGAATATTTAAATGATTCTGAGGCAGGCTCTACCAGCAGCCCTCAACTTAGAACCGGTTGACAAGCCTTGAGCCGAAGGTCAAGGGTCCCCTGGTTTTTGTCTGTCATTCTTTCCTCCAGTCGCAGCCTCTGTGAGGCAGTTTCCTATTCTGTGACTTTTCTTTGTTTCTTTATTTAAATCCTCACTCTGGCAGTGACTGCTCTTATTTTTCGTTGCAAACACATTGTATTTTGGACCCATTACCACAGAGCAGACAGACTGGAAGGTGTGCAGGTATGTTTTGGCTTTGAAAACTTTGAACGGTGTTTAAAAATCAAGAGTTTAGCCCAGCCAGCGTGGCTCAGTGGTTGAGCACTGATCTATGAACAGGGAGGTCACGGTTGGATTCCCGGTCAGAGCACATGCCCGGGTTGCGGGCTCGATCCCCAGTGTGGGGCATGCAGGAGGCAGTTGATCGGTGATTCTCTCTCATCATTGATGTTTCTGTCTCCCTCTCCCTCTCCCTTCCTCTCTGTAATCAGTAAAAAAAATATATATTTTTTTTAAATCAAGAGTTTAATATAATAAATCTGGATTTCCGCCTTCTCCTGAAAAACAGGGTGATCTGGGCCCCTGGGGGCTCCATCCCCAGCTGGTCTCCCGCAGGCAGGCTGGGGAGGGGCTGCCTGTGAGGAGAGGGTCCTCCTTCCACTTGGCATATCCCCCCAGCGGCTTCGCCTTTCTTACCTGCCGGCCAGCCCACAGGCATTTGAGTTTGCGACTTTCTGACGAGACTGAAATAGGCTTTTGCAGGCTATCCTGGGAACCCAAACAATATTTTTTTAGTATATTTCAATGGGAAAATGAATATCAGCTTTTAAAGAGCAGATATATCAACAATGCAAATTTGGGAATGCTGACAGGGTCCTCAACTAGAACGGTATGTCTTGAGATGATGGCCTGTGTCTTACGTTGTTTGCTGTGTGTGGCTTAGCACCTCGTAGGAACTTAAGAAATGGTTTTCTGAGTGCTCGTCGTCTGCCCTCCCAGGCGGAGCACAGAAACACCTCGTCACTGTGGGCCTGGGCCTGATCTCTCTCTGCAACACCCACTCAGGCCCTAATACTGGTGCGGAGTTTGGGATCAGTCCCCGGCCCAGCTCCCCTGTCTGGAGAGAAACAGTTTCTCTCTGCATCAAAGCTCCTGTCCCTGTAGAGGGTCCTAATGAGGACATGAGAGGACGTAGAGGCTGCCCCAAGCCTGCTGTCCTGGCCGATGCCAAACGGGAGTCTGTGGCAATGACAGGGTGCTTGCATTCCAAACCCTGGACAAGGGCTGGGTAAAAGTTCAGCTCATTCCCTTTAAAGAAAAAAAAAAATTCTTCGTCTTTGGCATTGCAAAGTTTTGACCCAGATCCGTCAGAGGCCATGGGGAGCTCGCGATGTTTGGAGAGCCGGGCTAGTTTCCGAGGCCTGTAGCTGCAGAGAAGCCCAGGAGGACCAGTGGCCTGCTGGCTTGGAGGGGAAGCCCTGCCTTTGCAAGTTTGCCCCGGCCCAGCCTCCGCAGGCCCCCGAGTGTGCCCGGGAGGAGCCAGCCCCTTCTCCTCACCCACAAGTTATCTCTACCCCCCGAAGTCAAACACGGCACGCAGCACCCTGTAAAGTCGCTTCCTGGTAGGCTCGAGCGTGCTTGCTAAGTAAACATCCTCCCCTGGTTTTTTTGGAACCAAATTCGTTTCTGCTTCCTGGTCATCCCATTGGGGTGTTTCTGCTCTCGGTGCCACGCAGAATCAAGTTAGCAGAAGAGAGAGCTAGAACTGGGCAGAGGCACCTAAAATGACCGTTTCAATCCTAGCGACATGGTAAGAACGGTGATGGGGCTGTGGGAAGAAGAGAAGACTTAGGTGAAGAGTGAAATCTAACAAAAGCTTCCCAAACGTAGAGCTTGTCATACTGCTTTGCAAGTCAGAGTCGGTTCCGGCTGAGCCCCTGAGACGGGGACCTTTCTTTGCATTTACCCAAGCTCAGTGGCTGGCCACAGTCGGCCTCTACCTGCAACCTCTGTGGCTGTGAACGGCCCTCCTCTGACCCGAACTTGCTCTTGCTCCGTCTCTCATGACTGACTTGCTTCTTCTTTCTCACCACCACCCACCCGTGACATCCCCAGCGCCATGGCAGTGAGCAGCCACGTCATTCACCAGGTTCACCGGGTGATGGGCCAGCTGTGCGCGGAGCCCTACTTCCCTCTGGTTCTCTGTCCCGGAGCAGGAGGCTCCCTGGCAGAGCTCAAAGCCCTTTGTTTATTTGATCCTGGGCTCTTGGATAAATCAGGAATGTCCTGACATGAACTTAGGCATGTTTTTCTTCCATGGAAAAGGAAACTCCGGCAAATGGTATTTAAGTAGGCAGAGGACCATTCCGGGGGGCTGGCTCTAGTGCCATCAAGGCCGCATTCCTTCGGCCATCAGACCAGTAGGTAACTTCTTCATTGGCATGCTCTACCCTGGAGCCCAGAAGGTGTGAATTTGAAGCACTTTGCCCCCCGCGGGGAGCCTGGCACCGATGATGCCCTGGGCTTCTTTGAAAACCGTGGAGTGCCGTGGTTGTCTTCCAAGTGGTCTTCTTGCTGCGTGAAACCGGGGCCCAGGGTAGTTGCTTGAAGAAGGCTGCTGGGGAGGCAGGGCACGGGATAACGTGGCTGCCTGGCCTCTCTTTCTCAAGCCATCTTCTTGGGAGTGGCAGGGTTCTCGGTGTGATGTACTTTATGAGTCACCTGCCCCAGGACCCGAGTATCTCTCTCACTTCCAGTCAGGTCTAGCCTCCTATGGTGCAACTGGCTGTCAGAAACCTTTATGGGTCTGGATTCTTTGGATGTAGTGATGTGGGACCCAAGACCCCTTGGGTCTGCCTAGGTAGTCAGGGTCCAGTGATAGCATCGGAATTGTTCTGGAAACATATCTGGGTCTGTGCTTTGCTGTAGTGGAGGCCTGTCAGTCTCCTAAGACAGTCTCAGGCCTTCTCCAGAGCATTGGTGCCCCCCCCCCGCCCCCCATCCCCAAAAGAGTGTCCAGGTATGTGAATGCCCAGGCATTCACAGGGGCAGTGGGGGTGGGCTGGTGGCGCCTTATCTCACTTGGCTGCCCACCCCCAGAGAGAAGAACCCAGTCCTTGGCCACTCCAGGTCCAGGCGTGGCTGCCGCTCTGTTTTGCTGCTTTTCATGTTGTCGGAGGATCTTCTTGGGAACAAATGACTCAGCAACCTGGATCTCCGGGACTGAGTGTGGCATAAGTGCCTTTTGAGGAGCGATTGGACGGATCCACCCCGTCTCTAAAATTCTGAGCTCAGGAAGAATGGAGACCCAGACGCTTTTGCTCTGGATTCTTCAGGCTGCCATTCAATTTGGGCTCTCCGGTTCCTGCCCCGATACAGGGATCTCACCCGTGGGATAAGCCAGGCAATGTTTTAATTACACTTTTTGTCTTTAGGAAATTCCAGGGAGAAAAAGGTCCTGGTTGGTGGCCAAAAAAGCAAAACGCAGCACAGACCAGCTGCGCTGTGAATCTGGACTTGTCTGTGGCAGAAAGAGTTAACAGGACAGTGGTCTCAGGGTGAGGACCATTTTTTTCTTATGGCCAGCCAGGAAAAGCTCACAGGGCCTTCTCCCAGGGCTCAAGAAAAGATGACGCAACATTTGGTGTGGGACAGCCCTGTCTGCCTTGTGGGCGCCGTCCCTCAAAGAGTTAAGCTGGCCTTGTGGCTGGGAAGCCCTCAGGGAAGGTGTGAGCCTGCAGGGACCAGGCTCTCGATGCCCCAGAGCAGTGAGGTGTGGGGTAAAAATGGGACGGGGGAAAGTGTGGCCAGGGAGCCGAGTGCAGGCCCAACTTTTTTTTTTTTTTTTTTGCCTTGTTTGACCAGCCTTGGCACTGCCCTCAGGCTCTCCAGGGGAAAAGCTGCAGTTCTGCTCTTGCAACACAAGGAGCAGACTGGAGAATTTAGATCTGCGTCACAGAGCTCAGAGAGAGAGAGGGGGGGAGAGGGAGAGAGAGAGAGCGCTCCGTCGATAGGTCTGCTAGCAACAGCCGTGCTGCAGCAGAGAGAGAGAAATCAAGAAACAAGTCATAGCAACACCGGGCACCAGGTTCTGCCAGCTCACTTGCCAAGCCGTTCAGAAATCTGCTGGGGGCTGGAGGCCTCTGGGTAGCCTAGGCTATAAGAGGATGATACGCAAGGTGGCACGGGCGGTTCCCGTGGGGAGGAGGTGGGGAGGGGGGGCAGGGGTGGGAGCAAGAGGTGGTGGGGCCACGGTGGAAGACTTAACCGGACCGATTTCTGGAACATTCGAGACTGCGGCATCTTACAGCCGGACCAAGATTTGGGTCTGCGCAGCCGGCGATGGGCGGTCCGATGGGCTTCAGGACTTGATGGCGTAACCCTCTTCTTCCCCCACGTACGTATTTGCTGGGATCGGGGGCGATGTCTCTGCGTATGTGGGCGCTCTGTCTTTCTCACCTCCTTTCTCACTTTTTGCTATTTTTTTTCTTGGAGAGAGAGCTTTTTTTTTTTCCACTTCAGTTTCTTTTCCCTTCGTGTCAGCTGCTCAAACCTGTTCAGGGGAGAGGAGAGAGGAGCAAGCTGTCCCAGGCGTCCCACCTGACCTCCTAGTCTTTATCCTCCTTCTCTCCTGTTGGGCAGACATACGGACTGGTTTTCCAGGTTAAGTGTCAGCACTGTCTGTCTGTCCGAGCAGGTCTCAGGTGGAAGGGAGGGGGAGGGAGTGAGAAGGAGAGGTGCTGAGAGGGAGGCCAGGGCACAGTTGCCCAGGGGCTGCCTTATTGAAACGCTCAGCCCTGGGAATCTGGCCGGTGAGGAGCAGGTGGGCAGGGTGGGGTGTGGGCTGGGAGACGTGGGGTGAAGCTGGTTGGTTTGTCACTGCGTAGTTGGGGAAAGTGGGGAATGGTGACGCAGTCACTGTTGCATCTTGTTAGGATCTCTAGGGGGACAGGTAGTGAGGTTCCCGGGGTGTGTGGGGCCAGCCGAGAGGGTTTAAAGACGAGCTGAGCAGGGAAGCCAGCATTTAGAGATTAAATGTCATCCCTTTGGCGTTGGAAAGTTGTTTACCTTGCGCGCTCTGTGTCTCCATGTTGGCACCCTTCCAGTTCACATGTGATGGCCTTCCTTGTACTGCTGCATCATTAACTAAGTGACTGAGCTGGCCTTCCATTGGCCAGGGGAGGGCTCTCACTCCAGACACTTCCTCTGATTGGTGGGTTGGCCCGTGGCAGGTGAAAACCTCTTTTTCATTGGCTGAGGGCAAGGTATCAAATCTGAATTTGCATTTCACTTGCTTAAAGGGGAGGGGGGAGAAGCCCAGCAGCTTTCTAAAATCTGTTTAGGGGTGTGCGTATGTGCTCCGGGGTGCCTGCTTCTGACTGACCAGCAGAAACCTCTCCCTGGGCCTTTTTATTTCACGCACTCTAAGGAAGAGGAGCTCAGGGCACCCCAAACTTCGTACAGGGGGAAGGGCTGGGGAGGTAGACAGGTGCACAGAGGGTTGGCCCAACTGGAAGAAAATATCTGTCCTTTAGTTTGGTGTCGGAAAAGGGAATTTTCCAACCAGCCACACCTCAGTGTTGCGGCAAAATAATTCTTGGCTCCCCTGGAAACGCCCGGGCAAGGTAGGGCAGAGCTGCTGCTGCTGCTATTGCCACCCCCCGGGCTTCCTGCTGACTCTGGGCTACTCCCAGGGGGGACCAGAGATTTGCATTGACGTCTGGGGCTGCCCAGAGCTGAGCCCAGTGTGGGAAGGACCTGCCTTCTGGAAGCTGCTGCTCCCTGGCGCTTGCAAAGGTGAGGATGGGACCGACCCCCCCGGACGTTGCTCAGAAGCTGCGTATCAGGTGGGGTTTCAGGGAGAGCCCCTGGGGCCTGAGAGGTGAGCCAGGCTTGTCCTTCTGGGGAGAGACGAGAGTGAGAGCAAAACTAGGGCAGCAGGCTGTTCCTCTGGTTGGGGGGCAGGGGACGGGGGAAATTCAGGGTTCCAGCTCCCCATCCCGTCTGTGCTGCAGGTCTCACATTCGTGGGGAGGGGGTCCCCGAGCCCTGCCCTGCCCTGCGCAGTGGCCCCCGCCCATGACTGCGCATCTGGGAGCGCAATGCGCCCTGGGTCTCTGGCCTAGAGCAGCACCGCCCTTCTTCTTACATAACGGAGGGCACGGCTGCGCCTGCTCGGCCCTTCCTCGCCAGCCTACCTCCTGGCTCCCGGGGCCCACGAAGCTGGGGAGGGTCTCACAGGGGAGCCATGAAAGGTTCCGCTGTCGTCCAGTCAGAGGTAGGAGCTAGGTTTGCAGACAGCTGTTCCTCGTATTGGGGTGTAGAACGTAGGCTGTCCTTCTGAGCGCCCGGGGCCACTCTGGCCCCCAGGACCTACCCGGGGCATGGGCCGATGCCCTTCCTTCCCTCTTATGCTTC